TATATGTTCTGACATGATTTAAATTTGAAAGTATTATATAAGTAAATAAATAAATTTAGATATTAAATATATAAATATATGAAAATTATGTGATATTTATGTAAATCATAATATTTTTTTTTGTAATAATTTGTTATTTTTTTATGCTATGAATGAGAGAGAATTAGATTTAAAAAAGACACATTATGTGCATATGTAATTCTAAATATAGTTCTAACATGTAGAGAAGCCATAGTAGCTTCCCATGGAAGGTTGATCATTGGGAGCAAGTAGATTAAAGCTTCTTTAATGTGTACATGAATACACATGCATGTCATGTCATTATGGTACGATAGTACATTGTTGTCTTAATTAAGTTTGGTATGGAACATGCATGGGTTGCATCATGCATGCATGGTGACGGACCCATGTGAAATAATGATGTGTTTAGTCCATGATGGCAAATAAATTGACTTATTTCAGTTTTGCTCTTATGATGGCATTTTCATAAAATTTTAGTTAGGTTTTAGTCGGGTCATGTCGGGTCAAACTTAGGAGGTATTTGGATGGGTTTTGGGTCTTTTCTATGCCCTAACATGACATGATTAAGATGAAGAAAAAAATTATTTTTTTATTATAAGTATTATTAGGCAATAGGTTAAATCTTATTATGACATGATTTGATTAGGGAGAATTATAGTCATAATTTCACATTTCTATAAGATGCTATGTGCGTTAGTGAATAATCTGATCTGAAAAAAATTGGACTTGAGTTAACCCATTTAATTGCGAGGTCAAATCCAGGTTGACTCTCAAACCCAATTTTGACTTGAAAGTTGTCTACTTAATATTTTAATTTTTTCATTAAATTATTTTGCAAATTGGAATGTAGATCTTATTTTTGATCAATTAACTTAACAAATTATGAATCTTTTTTTTAATCAAAACGGTTTATCCAGTCTGATAGATTGGGTTTGGATCCGCCTTTTAAACTGCTTGTTAAATGAGCTAGATTCGAGCTGACTAGATTCAAATCAATTCAATCTTAGAACGGGCCTGAATTCGACCTGTTTTACCCATTTTAACACAATTAATATTCACAAATTTTCTTAATGAAAAACTACAAATATTGGGTATATGTATTGATCTAAATGATTATATAGTTTGGTTTAATCCAGCATTGGATCCTAATCTCCTACTAAGCCTCTCTGAAGTCCGATCATGTGCCTGCTGTAACATCCATTTATTATGTATACTAAAGAAAATATAAAATACAGAAAATATTTGTGATATCAGCTTCTGATCCATTTTGTGTTAGGAGCATTTTAAAAATCATTATATATGATTTTAATTTTATTTCTGTAAAACAATTTTTTTTTTTAATTTTTATAATAATGTTGTTGGTTTTATATATTTTTTATAAATATTTTTAGATTTTGTTTATATATAAGTATGAGATTGAATTATTATTATTTTTTGTTTTTTCACTATAAGAAAAATAATTTTTTGTGGCACATTAAAAAAAGTTTTTGCGCCGGTTTCAACTGCCACAAAACTCTTGAAACGGTTCGAAAATTGTTACAAAGGTTTCGTTTGAGACGGCTTTCTTATTGTTGTTTAGGTTTTGTTTGGGACGACTTTTTTATTGCTTCTTGAAGCAACTTTCTAGTACAAAAATTTTAATTTTGATACTATGAAGCAATAAAAAAGCCGTCCCAAATGAAGCCTTAAAACAGCTTTTAGTAAAAAAATAAATTTTTTGTACTAAAAAGCTGCTTTAAGAAGCAATAAGAAAGTCGTCCCAAACGAAATCAAAATCGCTATGATTGGTGTAGTTTTTTGGCTGGAGTTTTAACCGCTGTAATTATGATAATAGAATGATTACTTTTTAAAAGAAGAAAGAAGCTCAACTTTATTTATTTAATCATACAAAATTTGATAAATAAAAATTTAAAGCACATAGAAAATATCATATAGATACTTCAGTCAAGGAAAAATATGACAATATTTTCTCTGTACAATTTCTTAGGAACAAAGTTCTCTTATGCTTACATATATAACTAAGCATTAGCATAATTTTACATTCAAAATTTAATAAAAAATAAATAAAGAAAACTAGAAGTTGATGCACCATTTCTTCTCCTTTTCTCCTATCTCTTTGCCTTTTTTCTCAAAAAAAAAAAAAAAAAAAAAAAAAAAAAAAAAAAAAAAAAAAAAAAAACTTCAATTCAAGAATTTGGGGCTCAACCCTTTGGCATCAGATCCTCTCATTATCCTCAGCCTCTTGCAAGAAGAAATGAACATCCTGTAATTAACATAAAATTAATGAGCATAGAGAGCCTTTTTTATTTTTCAAAAATTTTTGTGATGAAAAAATAGCTTTTTGTAATCAGGTTAGCTCTGTTTCAAAATCAATTGTATAAAAAACCTAATAAATCCTAAGATTAAATCGTTCAACTTAAAATTTTTCTGCTCTTTTTTTCTTTCTTTCTAATAATCTTTAAGAAAAAGCCATGAATTCCTCTTTATAAATCTTTTCTTTATGTGATCATTACCTCCATGGAACATCTCCGACAAGCATCCAGTCTCCATCTTTATCTTCATACGCAACAGCATAATTCGATCCCCCTCCCCCCAAAGTCACCGATGAAAAATCTCCTAAATCATCAAAACTACAAATTAATCTTCATAATTTTATCAATTTATGATCTACAAATACAAATACATACAGATATATATATTCTTACCTGAGGTGAAGCACTTGAACATGTCTTCCAAAGCCTCTCTAAGCAGTTCATAACTCTTATACAGCTTCAGATCAATCTTCCTCAAGTAGGGGGCACCATCCATACTAACTTTCACATATATTCCGCCGCCACCGCCGGCAGCCTCTGCTTCCGCCTTCCTCCCCGGGAAAACATTCTTCCGATTCGCCCGGATCGGTGGCCACCCGACTACCTGAGCCCTAAACAAATCATTTACAAAAAATATCATCTAAGCTACTACTAATTGATTAAAATCAATATGAAGAATCACACAATTAGACTTACTTTGAAGAAACCGTAGCCTCCGGGCCTCTATCATCCTCCAAGACCTCGATCCTTGATCCACTCTCCTCGCTTCCCGTCTCCGTCATCAATCGCTTGCATCCACGCGCGGGGCGGTCAGGCGCCTCCTCATCGGCGCCGGGGAGTCCCAGCCTGAGCTCGGTAGCCCTCAGATTCTCTGTATCGATGATCATCACTGGAAAGGAGAGGTGGAATGGAAGCCGGCGAGCATTGGTAAGCCAAAAGGTATGCTTTATAGCTGAAAGGAGCGATAATGGAAACGGGACACGCACAGCTAAGGATGTTGGCGAGGAAGGAGACAGGCGTTAGGCCACTGCCGGTTTTTAATGTCGCAGGGTGGGCCGGCGGTTGGACTTTTTGGGCCGGAAAGGACCACCGAAGATTCCGCTGATCGCGGGCTCGGAGGCTGCGGGCCGTCCGATTGGAACATGCCCATGTGACGGTTTATGGGTTTATTTCGGGTTGACAAATTTGACTTGTATTTCTCTTGTACCTGTGTAAGGGGTTGTTTGATGATGCTGAGTTGCTGCTCGTGCAATGTGGACCGTCCGATTTTAATAATAATAAAAAAATTTGATAAGCTCATCTAAGAGCCACCATATATTGGAATAAATGGAAACCAAATAATTTGTCGGGCTTTGTAAAGTCATATCATGTAATTATTATCGCACACGTGTGTTGGACCCATCAATTTCCACATTTTATTGAAAATTATGTGATTGTTTGGGTTTTTTTAGAAAATCTCTTCAATAATATTTTGGGGATTTACATACATACCATTTTATAAGATGCTATTTTGCATATCTAACATCTAAAATTTTAATATTACATGCCTATCATTCATAGACAATTTTAATATCAAATATGACAATAATATATTTTATTCCTACCACCTATCATCCTATAAACTTTAAAAATTCATTCATTGCATCCATATTTAATCTATGGTGATAAGCATGAAATATTACAATTTTGGGTGATTTACATACATACCACTTTGTACTACTCTATTTACATATCTAACACCTAAAATTTTAATATTATATACATACTATCTTATATTATTTTAATATCAAAAATACCACATATATTTGGGTGTTATTTATGTAATATTAAAGTTTTAGATGTTAGATATGCATGTAAATCCCCCTAAAATTTTAGGTATTAGTTATGTAAATAGTATAATATAAGGTGCTATGTATTTAAATCTCCCTAATATTTTATAGGAGTTTTTTTTTTACTTGAATTAAGAAAATAAATGAAGCTAGAAAAAAATAGTTTGATTTGATTATTTTGGCTGTAATTTATTGTATAATATATTTTTCGAAAACTTTATATTAGAAAAGGATTGAATTGAATGAGCTTAAATGGTTTTGTTCTATGTTGATATAAAATTATTATTTTTAATCAAATAATTATTGTTTGATTTTGATATTTTTTAAATATTGAATCACTTTTTTGTTTGATTTTGATTCAATTATTGGGTTCAATTATTTTCATAGGCTTTATTTAATGCTATGCATGATTCATGATTTTGATAAAAAAAATGCTACAATTTGTATTTACAACTTTGTAAAGACAACTAAATTTTTATAATTTTATGCCATCAAAAGTATAATATTTAAAATTATTTATGCAAAATTAAATTACACTGCACAATCATCATATTATTGATGAAACTAAACTATTAAAAAATAATTACATTTAATGAAGTTTAAAAAAAAAAAGATCATATCAAATAAATAACAAAAATCATAAATTTTCCTAATAATTTGTTCTTAGCTATTTTGAGCCCACACGCTTTGCTTTTATGTTAACTAATTACCATTAAATCACTAATCTTTTGATAATCCATTGGGAATGAAATGGAAAAGTGTTAATGACATTACTAATGAGAGAAGATAAAACAAAACAACTCCATTACTTTATTAGCTGTCTCCTAACTATTTTTTATGATTTGTCTAAGCAAATTAACATTGTAAATGCTAACTGTGTTAATTATTTTATTCTTTCTAAATTATTTAAATACAAGTTGGTAATGGTCGGGAGCTAGTTGAGAATAAGGCTTCACCTTAGTTTGGGACAACTTTTATATAGCTTTTTAAAACAATTTTTTAGTACAAAAATTTCAACTTCAAGATATTTTTGTACTAGAATTTGTTTAAGAAAACAATAAGAAAGTCATCCCAAACGAAGGTTCCAAATGAAACCTTCATTTGAGACAGCTTTATTATTGCTTCTTAAAATAATTTTTTAGAACAAAAATTAAAATTTTTGTACTTGAAAGCATCTTTAAGAAACTGTAATAAAGCCATTCCAAACGAAACCTAAGACTTTTTTTGAGATAGCTTTTTTAATACTTTCAAAAACAACTTTTTAATACACAAATTTTAAGTTCAAAAAATTTTGTACTAAAATTTTTTTTAGACATTAGTAAGAAAGCAGTCCCAAACAAAACCTAATTCTAATTCATAATTATATATAGATGCAAATATAGTTACATAGTATTTTAGGAAAAACAATAAGTAACTATCATTTAACTTGTTATATTATCTTCATCAATCGCAAAATAAATTCAATTATACAAATTAATATATAATTTTTGCCATATTAAATAATGTATTTTCTTTAAAAGTTGAGTCAAAATATATCACTAAATTTAAATGAAAACGAGTCTTAAAATTATTTAATTTATTTTAAAAATTTAAAACAAAAATTTAATTAAATTTATATTATATTAGACTAAAAAATTTTCAAAATTTTAAAACCAATTAAAAAATCAATAAATAAATGTTCCCTAATTTTTTTCTCTGCATGATAGTCATCATATATGAGAGAAATTATTATTTATGAACATCAAATCATCTGGAGGCGAATTAGAACACGCCACATCACTCGGTACACAACATGAACACAAATGCGGTACATAGTAAAAAGTGACATGACGTGCTCAGATTTACCTCCGGACGGCATCTGGTGTCTGCATAAAATAATTTTTCCATACATGAGACCTTCCTCCCTCTTTTTCTCTCTCTAGAGATAGAGAGAGAATCTTTTCAAACTTCAACATAAGAAAATTATTTTTATAATTTAGAAGATATTACAACACTATATTTAGTTTTACTGTTGTTAGATCATAATTAAATATCTCAATATCTCAACTGAAATAGCAAAAATCACCTTAATTTCCTTGCCTCAATTCCATAAGATCCAAATAAAAAGTACATTAGCAATAAGGTTCTAAACTTCACAAGATTTTGTCACAATAATTCATAAACTGCATAAACAAAGGTGAAATAATACATAAATTCAACAATGGAAAATATTACAGTAATTTAAATGGATATGTTAAAATTATTTTTGCAGAACTTTAGCTCGGGCCGTGAGTTCCTTTACACGATTTCTGAGTCGATCAGGATTGCAGAAGAAATCAACAAATACCTGTCTTTCCCATCCCACCTCATGTGGATGATGCTTCACAATCTGCAAGACCAAAAACAATTTAATTTGAATTTTTTTTCTTCTTCTAATATGTTATTGAACATTGCAAGAATTCGTCTTCTAGTGTTGGAGTTTACTAGCTGCGGTTCGAGTTAGGGTTGAGAACGAGTTGAGTTCGAGTGAGCCGGCTTTATGCTCGAAATGAAAGTGAATTGAACTAATTTCAAACAAACCATATCCGAATAAAAAAACGGAGCTAAACTGATTTTAAATAAATCTAACTTTCTTCAAGCCCACTCTAAGGCTTAGCCATCGTTTGGGATGACTTTTTTGTTGTTACTTGAAGCAATTTCTTCGTACAAAACTTTAAATTTTTATACTATAAAGCTTTGTTAAGAAGCAACAAGAAAGTCTCCAAAACGAAGTCTTAGGCTTCGTTTGGGATGACTTTCTTAGTGCTTTCTAAAATAGTTTTATAGTACAAAAATTTATAGTTCAAGAAATGTTTGTACAAGAAAACTGCTTTAAAAAGCAATGAGAAAGCCGCCCCATACAAAGCCTTAGTTTGGAACAGCTTTTTTATTGCTTTCTAAATCAGTTTTCTAGTACAAAAATTTTTTAAGCAAAAAAAAATTGTACTAAAAAATTGCTATATAAAATAATAAGAAAACTATCTCAAACGAAAACTAATACAATTTATACCAGCATAATTCTTATGTGTATATAAGAGAGAGAGAGAGAGAGAGAGAGAGAGAGAGAGTGTGTGTGTTTCCAATTTGATTAATAAATTTTCAAACATATTTGAAATAAATCGATTCAACTAGGGATTATCTAGTGACTTTTGAATTTCAAGCATAACTGTCAGCCTTAAAAATGTCCAGATGCGCTATCTTAAAGTAATGGCAGCCGTTTTATCTAAAACCTTAAAAAAATTTGCTTACAGGAGACAATGAATCACGTGATTGTTGACTTTTTTTAATATACCATAAGAATATCGTCAATCAGGGGACAACGAATCACGTAGTTGCTGATTTGTTTTTAATAAACTATCTGAATATCTTCATTATTAAATATTTATAGAGGAATAAAATTACCTCAGCTTTCTGTCGGTGTGCCTCTGTTACTTCTTCAACAGAAACAGAGAGATGAGAGTTCACCTTGTCCATTTCTTCCAGTTCTCGCATTAAAGGCTGAAATAAATACCAGAAAATTAGAGTTTGAACGCAATAATTCAGGAGAAAAGTAAATACATTTATGATATAATAACAAAGGGCAGGAAAATAGTTTTAATTAATACTCTTAAAACATTAAGAAATTAAGAAAAAAATAGTAACTATAAATACATTTAATTTTTTCTATAAATTGATGTTGATAGTATTTAGAGACAGTCATCTTAGGCGATTTAATCATATAGCCTTTCTGATGACCCGATTAAGAGAGTAGATTTATTAAATGTGGACTATGTTAAGAAAGGTAGAGGCAGATCTAAGAAGATTTGGTTAGAATGTATTAGAAATGACATTTTTTTATTAGATTTAAATGAGAATTTGACTCTTAAAAGAACACAATTGAGAAAAATGATTTATGTAGCCGATCCTACATAGTGGGATAAAGATTTGTTGTTTTTTTATTGTTGTTGTTGAGTATTCAGGTTTTAAGCTGTAAAAATGCTTTGCCATATTCATATTTAGAAATAAAAAAGAAGCAATGAATGAGGGCTATAGTTTATGAACAAAACAGACAAAATACATAAAAGTGCATCATAAGAAAAAAAATGTAGTTTAGCTTGAACATAGATAAATATACAACAAAAAGGCTATAATTTGAATGGGAAACTTCACAGATTGCATAATGGCCGTATCTTGAACAAGAAATAAAAAATAAAAATATAAAATGGGCTAGGGAGGAAAAAGTGCCTATTTCAAATCACATTGCTTTTACGAACCTTAGAGGAACAAGTTCAGAAAAAAGGTTTTGAATAATTGGAAAAAAAAGTGCAATCATAGTTATGCTGACAAAGGGCAGAACTGAAAAAGCATAGTCTATGACAACTCAACTGGAAAATCATGAAATTTCCTGATATTGAAGACTGATTAGATATAGGTAGGGCTGTCAAAAATCAGATCTCAATCTGATTTAACCCAACTAATGATTAGCAACAAGTCATTAGATCTGATTTCAAGCAAGCCAGGTTTGGTTATAGGATGCTGGATCTGATCACGATTTACACTATACAGACTTAGCTTCAATTCGAGCCAAATTCAAGTAAGAAAAATAGATAGTCTCAACTAATTTTTCATCTCATGAGACAAATACCTAGTCCACCAAACAAATATATGTAGGCATACATAAATAGATTTGTATATATAAATATATAAATGCATCCATACTTCAATTCAAATTTAAAAACATACAAATATATGTAGGTATAAGCATTCAAAGATGCATGCAAATACATTTGCATCCAATCTCGAGCTAGCTCAATCCAATTCAAGTTCAACTCAATTAAAGTTTTGTCCGAGCCGGGTTTGGCTTATTAGTGATCCAAGTCAAAAACCTAGTTGATTTTCAACTAATTTTTTATCTTTGAGCTAAACTTACAACTCTACAAAGAACTGATCAAAAGATGAATTTTAGAGCAATCTCAGGAATCTTTCTTGAAAATCATTGGCTCAGCATACAGGTTGATCCCAGGAACTACGCCTGACATTGTTGTAAAAGCAGTAAAATCGTGAACAGAAGAAAGATATTTGTCAAACTTTTTCAAGGTTTCCGTGTTATCAGCTGGACAAAGACTTGGTAAATTCATGAGAAGGTAACAAAAAGCACAACAAATATATAACTAACATATAATATACCCGAGGAGTTAATAATGGCTCTGCAGTTGTTGATGATGCAAATAAAAGCTGCTCCAAAACTTGAATAAGACTGCACCTGTTAATGAAAAGAACAACAAAAATGAATGCTCTTCAAGCATTTTGGCGAAAGAAAATGCTATCTTTGTATTTAAAGTTAAAAACAAACTCAATTCAACATGACAATTTTAGCATGGGTTACTCCAATAATAATAAGCTAAAAAACATTTTTTTTTCTACAGAATGTTAATACTGGGAGAAGAGGAATGAGCCGTTGAAGTATATGTCGGTATGATTTAAATGATTAAAGGGTGCTTTAAAGAACATCCTCACAATTTTGACCTTGGTTCTAAAGAACTAGATTTAAGGAAACTAGGAGAGTAAAGTAGTACCGAACCAACAAAAACATGTTAGCTATAGAGCAGAGATTTTATGCTGCAAATCAGACATTTATTCATCTACTTTTTTTTTTTCTGCAGGAAAAGAGGCATCTCTCTGATTCCTTGTATCAACAAAAGTCTCATTCTTTTACTATTGTGGTTATCATTACTAGCAACGTTGATGTTTTGTTGATTTGATTTTGCAGGAAAAGTAAAGGCTGAGATAATTTTAGATAGCATAATAACTTCTACTTACGAAATAGATCATTTTCTATGAAGAATATAAAACTTCGAAGAAATTGAGAGTTCCCCAAACAGAAAGATCCCGAATAATTTAGATGAACATAGGAGAATTAAGGAATTTAGTTGAATGCAAATTTGAATGAGCATGAATTACTTAACGTATCTTTTTTTTATTGAACTATATTAGCATAACTTCAATGATAACCCTTATTTAGCTTTATTTTCCTCAAAAGTAAGTCGAATGTTGGCTTATAATATATAAAACCACTGGAACTCTTTTTGAATTAAGCATAACATAGTTCTTCCGTCATTTGAGGGATTAGAAGACTTAATCCCATCAAGAGATCATTAGAATTCTCACTAAGTGCCAACTAAAAAGCAACATGATAATAAAATGAATTTCAAAAAATTGTTGCTCAAGTTAAAATGCAAAATTGTAGCAACAATATTTCAGATGCCACTTCTTTATCCAAGATATGTGCTTTAAATATTAATGTTCTTGCACCATAATTCTAGAATTTAAATTAAAAAACTAGAAAACAGAATATATTGCATCATGTAATAGTACTAATTAAATTGGCATCAAGATAAGGAACCATTCACGACTTCAAATGTAAAAGATAACTTGTTGAAGAAACCTACACTTCTCACATTTAGAAATGCTTACTAAAATATAGCTAAGGCAATAATGATATTTATGTATTAATAAATTACATTGAAGGATTCACCTCATTTACCGGTTTCTGTTGTGGTGTTTGCGTATATAGGTATGTATCCTAAGTTACTTACAGTTCATTAATGCATCTTCTCCGGTCTTCAGGGAGAGAATTCTCAAGTTCTAACTGGAGAGAACGCAAATCAGATCTTACAGCTGAAATCTGCTGAATAATTCCATGGGCTGACACATAAGTTGGCAATGAAGCTGGAGAATCTATAAGGAAAAAAAGATAAATTTATAAAGAAAAAACTTAAAAAAACATATTCCCAACATTGAGCAAAAGTAAGTTCTTGATAGTACTCGAGTAAATGCTGAGAAGATCACGGACACCATGGAGGAAAGTGTCACGATCATCAACTGCGCCTTGCTCTCGTACTTCTGAGGCTGCTTGAATTAAAGACCGACAATGGCCCTATGATAAAGATAAATCTTTAGCATATGGTATTTGTAAATCTTTAGCATATGGTATTTGTGAAACAAATTTTGCAAAGTTGACCTACTGCAAAATAATAAAGAATAGAGTATAATGCAAAATATCATAAGATTGGCACAAGTAAACTGTAATCAAAAGTATAAATAGAGAGACTTTCAAATGACAGAATATTGACACAGATAACCAATGCACCACCGTAAGGAGAGGGAAAAAAGTTAAGCCTCAATCTGACCTACAGAAAGATCACAATTTTCTGTCCATTAGATTTTAATTGTAAAACCCACAATGAAAATTAACGCCTTTGATCTTTAATCTATCCTAGAAGATAGCAAGGAACCAAAATTCTTGAGGTTCTGTGGTAGCATAGTTTGGCTTCAAGTTATGGAAAATAATGAAAGGCATGCCGTAGAATTTAATCAAGCCAAAAAAAAAAGGTCTTATCATCTTGCAAGATTTTTGAAAATAATAAACCTTGGGTGTAGCCTGAGCAAGAGGCTTTCTTAAGGGTTATGGAAGGGGTTGATGTGTGTCATGATAAATCCGTCTAAACCTTGCATTGCAAAAAGATTACTTACGTGATTCTTGCATTGCGTAGATACTTTTCATGACTGTAAATTGTGGACAAAAAAATAAAACACTCAATTGTCAGTGTCCTAGTGTCCTAGTATCCCTAATGAAAGGAAGTTACCCAACCTGCATCAGATATGGAGTGCGTTTGTACACATGCATGAATATTCTAGTTAAACCATTTCTTACATGTATGCATGTTCGATCAATGTGAAGCCCCTATAACTATGCCATGTTGTCATTCTAGTAAAATTTCTCTCCAGATGACTGTATATAGGATCTAGAATCATACAAGCAATTGTCTTATCCTACATATGATCAGGAACCATCCATACAGTGAGGTTTGTACCCATGCATGTATGATTGCACATTTGAGTTGTTCGGTGCTCATTCTGCCAATGATTTTTTATAGTGTTCCTGACTCAATATAGTATTTTACTATTATATATATATATATATGTATATATATGTTGACTTGGGCATAAATTACTAGTCACTTAAATTCAAGCTAAAAGATGACACAATGGCAAATGACTTAAACAACATAAGCCTCTCTTATAGAAAATATTTCATTTTGCCATTCCAAATCGTGGGAGAGAAATAGTGTAATGACCTTAAATTTATTTTCCCTAATTCCAGGAATTTGGCTGGTTGATTGCCACAATGCCGAGTTAGCAGCAGCGTGGTATTGGGCTCTCCAATTTTTTTGGAATTTGAGGAAGTGTTGCAGTCCTAAGTCTAGAATTTTATTTTTTCAATAAAACACCTAAAACCATTATTAATAAAGCTCTCACCACCCCTCTCCCCTCCTTATTCCATTAACTTGATCAGGTGAGAAGAGAGAGAAAGGGAAAGAAAAGAAGAGAGAGAAGAAAGAAAGAGGAGAGAGAAAGTAGGGTTCTGGCCGATATTTTTCATCGCTCCATATGGGATAATTGTTCTAATAGTGGTACGTAACCCGAATCCTATATTTGTTTTCAAAAATTTTGATTTTTCAGTATCTCTCCTAAAATTGATTTAAAAAGTAATATCTTTCATTTTAGTAATTTTCCACTGCGTAATTTTTTATATGCGATAAATATCGTTATCTTGAGCATTTTGACTGAATATTGAAATTCACAGGGTGATTTTGTTTATATGCCATTTTAATTGAAATGAGTAGTATAATGTTAAGTATAAAATGATAAAGATCAGTATATTGCTAATGGACATGAAATACATGATATGTATATATTTACTGTTTATTTAGTCAAATATATACTTTTGGCATAAAATAGGTATATTTATGAGTAGCGATAATTGCATTGAATGTACATGATGTTTGTTATTATAATTTACATAATGTAAAATGTGTGCAAAGAAAGCTGAGCGGAAATGATAGACTGATTTAGGTTGGCTGGAGGCATGTTATCCTATACAGGAGGGTGGGCTAACAGACTTTCATTTAAATAAGGTTTGTGGTTTAGTATTAATAAGTGATATGAAAAGTGAGGTATAAAAAGACATGATTGATATGATATGATACGTTAATGGGCATATGTGATATGAGACTTATTTATGGAAATAAAATTAATATGATTGAGACAGATTCATATATGATTGGATATAGAAAAAATGCCACAAGTAGTCATGTGTTTGATCTTGCCTGCATATGTACATGGCATGAGCATCGACATGACATAATATGATATGCACATGGTACATGATATGATTGATATGGATACATATGTACATGGCATGAGCATTGACATGACATAATATGATATGCACATGGTACATGATATGATTGATATGGATACATGATATGATTGATAAGAAAAGACTGATACAACGACATACGATAGACATAAACTACATGATATATACGATACATTGTATTTACGAATAATACAGTACATGATCTGCATGTATTGATTGTTGACGAATATTTTCGCATCGACTCGACCCAGATCGAGCCCAACAAAGCTCGATCGCGCTCGATCAACTCAATTGATCATCGTCGAGGTGAAATTAATCCGAATTAAGCCTCAATTTAATTAAATTAAATCAAATTCAATTTAATTAAAATCAAATCAAAACCAATCGAACCCTGTCGAGCGTCGTCGAGCCCAATTCGACGCAATTCGGCGCCGATTTAAGTTCAATTTCACGAAATTAGCTTGATCGGACCCAACCGGACCCAAACCGACTCAAATCGGTTCGGGTCGAGTCCATCTCGGACTCAATTTCAGCCCTAATTTCTCAATTTGGGCTGAATTTGACTCTTAAATCAAAGTTTGAGATCAATGGCTCAGATTTCATACCAAATTCTGCCCTAAATCCCTCATTCCACGTGTGTGAGGGCTGATTGGTTCACTTGGGCGGCATTTGTTTGGCTGGGCGTGCTCCTCTAAGGGCACGAAAGGGAGAGAGGGGAGCTCATTCGGCTCCCCTGTGTGTTTTACGCCCCGACCCAGAGCGAGAGAGGGAGACGGAGAGAGCCTCTCGGCTCTCTGCGTGTGTTTCCGTCCCGACCAGAGCAAGAGAGGGAGACGGAGAGAGCCTCTCGGCTCTCTGCGTGTGTTTTCGTCCCGACCAGAGCAAGAGAGGGAGACGGAGAGAGCCTCTCGGCTCTCTGTGTGTGGTTCCGTCCCAGACAGAGCGAAGAGGAGAGGGGAGCGTTCGGTTCCCCTGGCGTGCTTGTCCGTCCCAGCCAAACCGAAAGAGGAAGAGAGGGGGAGGAACCGTTCGGCCCTCCTGCAGTTCTTGCGGCTCCTGCTCCCGACCAAGCCTTTTCCTCCTTCCATACACTTTCTTGGGAGCTGAAGTTGAGTGAAGAGGAGATCTTGCATACTCCGGGTGCTGTCTTCTTCTTCCTTGGGCTGAAAAGAAGTTCTCTCATGCCGCCATAACCTCATTTCCTTGCTTCCCGGCGAAGGTGAAAGTTTCTTCCGTCATCTTCTTCAACGCCGGTGACCTCTA